AAAAAAAAAAAACAGAAACAGAATGACCCATGCGAGTATCTGGAGGTAGGACTTGCCTATTAACTTCTAATTTGTGTTAAGAGCAAGACTAAGCAGCTGCAGATAACCTCGTAACTTTCTTGTCTAAGTATCTAAGCACCTCTATCCTCTTTTTGAAGAGCCACATAGTTTATGGGAATAACAGTACCCACTCTACCACTCTCTCTTCTATCCTTTGTCGGTCGAGCCCAGGGAGTCCCCACACGTCTACTGTTTGGTGTTGAGACCATTGTATTAGCATTTGTGCTCTGACCCAACGGTTTTTTGGCATTTGACTTCGAACCAAACATTGCTTCTTGCTCTGCAGCTAATTGATCTTGAAGCTTCTTTTGTTCCTAACAAATTATCCCGCATTTAATAATATTACCAAGGACACACACAAAATAATCTAGCAATAAAGTTAATGCAAACAACATACTCGAGCTCTGCGTTTTTCCTCTTCTTTTTCTTGTCGGGAGATGGTGAATTCCTCCAACGTCCGCAATAAAGGAGTCTGCAAGAAGGGGAGTTAAAACTCAAAGACTAACGGATATAGAATGCCAAATGATGAAATGCCTTTCAGCCACATTACCTTGTTATACAGAAATGGCATTTCTTTCTCTAGTTCCCATGCTTTTACTTTTGCAGTTAAACTCTCAACAAGTGCTGCACGAGTTTCAGACAGATTCAACTTCTCAGATCTTAACAAAGTGAAATAATCTAATTTCATATTATGTTGAGCATAAAAATAAAAAGAAACAAAAAGGTTCTTGTAGACTTGAGGGAAAAAATATGATAATATGGAGCACGCATTTGTCTATTCATCGTCTGATAATTAATGTTTCACAAGTAGCTTACTCAAGAATCTCTTTCTATAATAGTTCCTTTTTTCATCTTCAATCAACAGCACAATGTATAGCAGGTAATCATCAGTGGAACTAGTTTTAACATAACCCATAGTAGCAGTCGTAAGTGACAAACAAGGCTAGAGGAACGTTAGAGGTTGTTTGGGAGAGCTTATAATCTCTTTAATATCTTATAAGATGTTCAAAAGCTCTTTGAGCTCATGATTTCCTAAAAGAAATGTACCACCCCTTAGTGTTTTATCATTAAAGACATTGTAAGCTCAAACATTTTTATTACAAACAATTCAACAACTTATTTCTAAAATAAGCCTCAACAACTTATCGGGTCTAAAAACGTATTACAAGATAACAAAACTTAAAGATCTTTCGGATAAGTTTAGGCAAACACCCTCTTAAACAAGTCATAGCTTGGGAAGAAAGCACATTTACATATATACAGTGATTAAAAAAGCGTGCAGCAAGCCGAGGCGACAAGCCTCCTATTTTCCATAGCGTGAGGCATGACGCAAAGCGCTCGCCTTATTAAAGAGAGGCGAGCCATTATACAAAAATCGAGACATATCATATAATTCACCAATTATGACATAGTTATGTATGTAGAAACATATAATACCTAATAAACATCGAAATCCTTCAAAATTAAATGAAAACATAAAACAAAGTAGCAATATATTTCATTTATAGATTTTGTTGCTAAATGGCAAGACCTTTTTAATCACTGCATATATGCATCCCAAGGATTCTTAAACAAGCCCAGCAACAACAATCTTTTTCCCAACTCAACTTATAATACCAGTGAAGGCTAAGGTTTGTCATGAAACAGATGTACCCTGACATCAAACCCAAGGCTTCCACTTTTTAAGGTGTATTTTCTAAATGCTGGAATAAGAAAACGATGTTAACAAATGCTGATTTCAAAAGCTCACATGGTAGTTTGCCAACTAAGATTCTTGCTTTCTCTGCACGCTTTAAATTCTTGTGCACTCCTCTTCCCGCACTATATCGATTTTCATCCTGATAGAAAGCAAAATAAATATTACAAACATAAACTTACAATTGAGTTAGATACCTACTCCAGCTATAACCTCATTAAAGTATGTTCCCTTGAGTAATCTATGTTTCAACTACAACGAAATGCAGCTACTATCGAACTTTAAATTATTCAGATACCCAACTTGTGGGTCGAGGAGTAGATGGATACCTTCAGTCTGTCTGCTAAGTGATAGATATGCAGTACGTTTAGGTCAAAAGCAATACATTTTCATTCCTGACCCATCTGGCATATGTGATATGTTAAGAAATTATGTTGGTGACTTATGATTAAAGTGGCATACTATCAGTTGGCCTACGGAGTTACAGCTTTCAAACTGGCTTTCTAAATCAAAATTTTAGACCACTCGACAGGACGAAAATAAATATTCCAGCAATAATGTGGCAGAGTTGCATTTATCAAACATTGCTGATAAGCAGAACTAGTTCATTGAAGCAAGCACAACCTAAGGACCAAATAGCATAGGAGTATTGGATTAAAAATGAAGAAGACAGACGGAAAGCTTACTCTTTCGTACTCAGCGAGCCAATTTTCCTCCTCAGATGCTTGTCTCCATTTCTCCACCTTATCCAAAATGTCCTTTCTGCTTCGGGCCTGTTCTTTGGCTTTCACTATTTGATCGTCCATACTAGATAAAAGCTCAGAAAGATCCATACTACCTGCAGTGGCACATTCATGTAAATCATTATTACAAAGGCATTTCTCAAAGAAAACAAACACAAGTGTGCACCTTATTAATTTTTATGTTTGAAAAAAGATTAGCATAATAAAAAATATCGAAGTTATCATTCAAAATTAGAATTTCTCTGAGATTTTACAACTACTCCTTTGAGATCTGTACTAACTTAAAATATATTCCCGTACTGACAGAGCAATTTGTAAAGTATAAGAATGTCAAGGGGCTAATTATAACTTTAAGAGGTAAAGCACCAATGATGGTATATGCACATGCTAATTTCTCAAAACCTCAATTAAGCAAAGAGACCAAGGACCCTGATGAAACTTGTACTGTCCAGGACGTAAGAAAGTTATATTCCATGTTCTTGTATTAATAAGCAAATATCAAGCAAATAGTTTTTTGTACACAAAGTCTTCTTCACCATGCATCTCAGTCATTGAATAAGAGTTCAAGATTACCTCAGAAAGCTTCAGTGAACTACTACCATAATTAACTTACCAAGAAAATGATTTGACCGAAGGATACACATTTTGAAAGTCAATAGTTGACATGCCCAAACAATGGACATGGACAAACAGTACACCAACATTCTGTGACCAGATGTTAAAAAGAACGAAGAAACGCTTAGATCGAAACAGCTTGCAGCACCGAACACATTCAAATTAATAGAGATTAGAGAATGAGGATACTGGAAAAGTATGATAATGATGCAGTTTTCATTCATATCAACAGGAAGTAACTGAATGAGCAAATAATATATTAAATCATTCTCGCAGAAGGGGGATGCCACAACAGTATGCAGGATGAAAAACACACACATCCATTAACAAGTAAACTTTTTACGCATAGTTAAAGAGCGGATATTGGAAAAGTATGGTGAAGATGCAATAATCAATCTTTCAAACAAAACGACAGCGAACTTCACCAGAATCCATAAGAGAAGTGAGAATCTTCCGTGCTTTATCACCATCAGCATCCATATGTACAGCTTTGCATATTTCTTCAAGCTCAGATTGCCTCCGAAATATAAGATCCTTCATCTTACTGGCTTTCAGAACATTTAGACGCTCAACTTCAGCTTCGCCCTGCAATGGGTGAAAAGTTAAGCAGACATAATTGCTAGATGGGCTTTATTCATCAACATTAAACATACAGACTACCAAAAATGATAAGAATGGACCTGATCGATGACATCAACAGATAGACATCCAGGACTCAAAACCTTGTCAACAGTGTAACTGATTAAGCAAGTGATGTGATCAAATTTTGATTTCTCATCAGCACACATCTCCATAAGGTTCCAGAGCTCTACAAGACTTCTTCCAAGAGCTTTTACCTGCAGAGAGACACTAATAAGACAGAGAAAAATATAACTCGCAGGACATATGTCTTTGATGGTCACAGGCATAATTATTGTGTCCAACCACCCATTAGTTTCAGCTTCTGTGCAATGGAATATGGATTATAAATTTTGGAAACAATTATATGACAAGCAAACATCTAAACAGAGCACAAAACATTGAGGTTCAGGTGTTGCAAGGGCACAGTTCATCCCAATGATCTGGTCCATACAGAGACACTTGCTATTGAAATCAATTGGCACCAACAACTAGTAATTGCATCTTAAAAGTGTGAAAATGTTTCTACACAGAAAATTATATTATTTAAATGAATAAATGGACTGATGACATAAGTATCCATTAAACAGCATGATATGAATAATCCGACAGTGATTCTGGAAAACCTCACCAAAATAGATTGCTGCCAAAACCTTTACCATCCAGAAACACAAAGCAAACTACATTTCAAAAATAGGCATAAATTCCTCCACCAACCTTTTATACTTATAGTTGCAAAACCCTCCTAGACCTGGATAGAAATGACACTATTGAAATCACATTGGAAGCAGATAAATGTGTACAGTTGTATACGATTAATACATCTGTAGGAAATAAATAGCCCAAAACTAAGACTAGTTATGAACAAAAACTAACTTCATTTACAAAATTCTAATTTTCAAATTTAGATATAAGAAACACAGGTAAAATAATAGTTAGGTTAATGATAATACAACATAATATAATGTCTTCTTCTCAAGCAAAAATAGATGAAAAATAGATTATTGACACTTACCTTCAGTAGCCGCTGTTGTTTCTCTTGGTTCAGTAAGTTAATCTCACTGGTTAATCTAGCAAGTGTTACGTTGCTGATGCTCTTAGCTTGACCAGCAACAGCATCAACTAGACTTGGATGAACTTCAGCCATTATTTTCTTAAAATCTAGAGACAGGACTACTGAAAGTTCATGGATAGTACTGATGTGACTATTAACTTTCTGCAGGCGCAGATTCTGCCAGGAAAGACAAAGTGAAAACAAAAGGCAAAAGACCCAAAAAAAGAAGTATAACAATAAAAGACAACAAAGACAAAAAATCTAAGATTCCATTAGTCTTAGTTGAACTCTGGAAATTATAACAGCTTTTTGAGCTTATAACAAACCTTTTCAAACTGAAGCTCCTTAAGGTAAGATTTCAGATCACTCAACTTCTTGGTTGTCAAGTCTTGTTCATCCACTTGAACTGTGTTAGAACTCATATTTGGATCAATGCCTGCTATTTCTGCAGATATCCCCGAAATGAGGAATTCTATTTCGGAAATCTCTTTAGTTCGCTCTTGTTTCTTTAGCCTCAAACTGTCCAGAATGGGGCATATAACAGAAATTTGCTGCTTAAGGTTGCATTTATTCTTTTCGTACTGATACAAGAGAAAGAGAGATTAAATAAATAGAAATAGAGAAAGAACTGAGAGCTAAAAACTGGAGATAAAGAAGCCACTGTATTGGTAGAGTAGCAATAGCAAAATATAATGACTTTAGCTAAACCCAAATAACAAAAAAAGGAAGCAATACGAAGCAAACCTGAGGTACAGAAACCGTTTCTCCAAGGGCAGAGGCAATTTGAGCAATTTCAGCTTCAGATTCGGCCAAACACTTAAGTAACTCAGCTTTGTTATTTCTACTCTTTTCCACCTTCATACGATATATATCAAGGCATTCCTGCTCCAAATCAAGAAGCATCTTATCCCTCTCAGTGTCGCTTTCTCCAATTTCATCCCATATTTTCTGTTTCACAAATTCAGTTGATTAAAATTCATACTCTCCAAGAAAAAAAAAATACAAATAAAAACTTCAAAATCTACAGAGGCATGTATCAACTATGTGTTTTGATATATGAGGCATTTTAAACTCTTCTTATCACCAAAAATCATATGGAAAAATGTGTTTACAATCACATAGTTCATTCTCCCATGATGCAACACCAAAATCTTATCATCAAATATATGGAATGAGAAAGATACATCTGCTTCAGAAATCAAGTAAGAAATACAAATGGATGTAGTTTTGAACATTGAGTGTCGCCATCACAATAATTTGTAATTCTACCATCAAGAACAGGAAAACGGGCAGCAGCAAGCATCACTGTGACTTGAGTGATAATTATTGTTAATCTAGCGAAAACACCAAACCGACATTGCAATATCCAAATAGGAATCCACAACGGTCCGTTTCACTGAAAGAGCGGTCTGCTTCAGAAATCAGTCCGACCCAAAACCTAATCTACTTGTTCTGGAAGGAAATCCAATAAGTTATTGTTCTAGATTACCTGGAGTTCGCGGAGGAGAGAGGCGCAAGTGGTAGTGGCGGTTTTAGACAGAGAAAGTGGCGAACAGTTATTCGCACAGAATTTGGTACCATCAGTGGGCGGCATGGCTTTGAGGTGAAATTGGGGGAGAGGAGATGAGAAAACTAAAGAAATCCGTACGACACTATTGTATTCTTCCCTCTTCCCAGGATTTTGATCTTCATTACCAAATTTTTAAGCTACAAAACGGGAGGAGCTATTATATTATATTTATTGCAGAAGATTTTATTTTCGGGGATGGATTGTATTTCTATCTGTATGTGCGTGGCGGGAAAACGTGGATCTACCATCTCTGTTTTTCGAATTATTACGAATCGTGCGATGGGTAACATATATTCATTAATACTAATACGTACCTCGTGTCATGCACGAAATAAATATATTAAATGAGTTATTTAACATACTCGATTCGTTTAAGTATAAAAAAGTTAGGGTTATCATCTATTTTCTACCTCTTTTAATCAACGTTAAGTCTAAAACACAATAGGTTATAATCTATTTTTTACCTCTTCTGTTTAAGTGTAAAAAGCAGTAATCATCTATTTTCCACATTTTTTAATCATCGTTGTTTTTTAGCCAGTGATATGGGATATTATATAGCTGAGGAATAGACCGGTTTACCACATTGGTCGGGCAAGCTCGAGGTAGAGAAAACTGTATTAGTCGAGAGATAATCGACCAAAAGGGAAGAGATCGAGCTAAATAACAGAACTGGTCGAGGATCGACCTAGTGATGAGGGACTCGGTCAGATCGAGCACTCAACAGGTGAAGAGCAGTCGAGAGCGTGGCTTGAACGCGAGAAAGCGCGTGGGTGGCGTTAGAAGATCCTAAGGGGATGCACAGAGAATAATCTCTATCTGCCCAGAGGGACACGTGGCGAGACTACATTGGTGCAGAGCAATAGTGGTGATAACCACCTCTGACGCTTCTGACACATACAGACTGTGTGTGTACGGACGGGCAGTACGGGCAGGACAGCTCATCAAATCCGGGCAGCTCCTAGGGCAAGTATCTCACTCCTATATATATAGGAGTGGGTCTTTTCTTGTGACTTACGATTTATCCATCACATACTTTGGAGAATTCAGTAATATATACACTGACTTAAGCATCGGAGGCTCTTCACCGGAAAACCCCTCCGATGTGAGAGTTCTGTGCAGGTGCGCGGCGTTCTACCGGTGAGGAAGAGGAAGGCGGGCCGATTTCAAGCCGGTCGGAGTGTTTTGCGTTACCATTTGGCGCTGTCTGTGGGACTTTCCCTCGAAAAGTAGTATGCTGAGAGTACTGAAGCTCGGTGGCTATGGTGGACGGAATTCCTAGGAGAGATTTGCATGCATCGTTCGACGAGGCAGTTTGGAGAAGGCCCACCTCTGGGTTTCTCTGGACCCTTGGGTACACCGGTGACTCCGACGCCCGTTCCCCAAGGTGTAGGAGTCACGCCTGTGCAACTAGAGGCTGACGTGGGCTCAACCCGAGCTCAGAAGGCCCGTACAGCTCAAGGAGCTGCGAACCTAACGCCGTTGCAACCAGATCTGGCCGTGACGCCGCAGCAAGGAGCGGTGGTGCAGGGAGCAGCACCGCCGCCGGTGGAGGAGCAGCGCCCCGACCAGCAGGTGGTGATGACTAGGCAGGAGATGCAGCAGATGGTGGCGAACACGGCGGCACAAGCGGTTCAGCAAGTCACCCAAAGTCTTTCGCGAGTGGCGGTTGGGCCGACGATGGTGGATGAGGATGTGTCTAGCTATGGAAGAGATGGAGCTCTGCGAGATCGGGAGGTGGAGAGACTCGCGGAGCAGGTGAGGCAGATGCAAGCCAAGATGGATGGCCGACCTGAGAGGCGTGCTCGAGGGCACCTGTTCTCGAGGGACATATTGGCTGCACCATTACCCGCGAATTTCAGGGACATGAGTTTGGTGTTCGATGGGACTACTGACACATCGAGGCACGTAAGGGCGTTTGAGAACTTGGCTGTGCTACATGGTTATTCTGATTCTGTTAGCTGCAGGGTGTTCTTATCGACTTTGAGGGGAGGCGCACTCGATTGGTTCCAACAGCTCCCTCATGGATCGATCAAGGACTTCGACGATTTCGCGAAGAAGTTGATGACCTAATACGCGAACGTTGTGGCGCAGGAGAAGACGTATTTGACGCTGATGGCCATGAGGCAAGGGGAGAAAGAGTCGTTGCGCAAGTATGTAGCTTGATATAATCAAACTCTTTTGGAGATCCCCACGGCCGTGGACGAGGTGAAGGCTGGAGGGTTGATAAGGAGTTTGTGAGCAGGGCCTTGCCGAACATCCTTAGCCAAAACCCCTGCTCGTACGTATGATGACGTGTTGAAGAGGCACAAGAAGTACATTAACTTGGAGGAGACGGAGGCGGAGTTTGCTAAGTTGGAGGAATTAGCTAAGCCGAAGCCGAAGAAAGGAAGGATGAACTCGCCTCGAAGGGTGTCATCAAGGAGGAGATCGCCCAGAAGAGAGAGGCGTGGCCGGATGGATCATGGACGAGAGGACAGGTGGAAGGATCGACCAGTGTTTGGAGGGAAGCGGTTCCATAACTTTACGCCGCTGAATGCAAAGATGAGAGAAGTGCTGGTGGCCATCGAGAAGAAGATAGAGGACAAGGACGTGACGTGGCCGAAATCGAGGCATGGGGGGCCGACACAACCTAGGTCGAGGAAGTATTGCCGTTTCCACAAAGATTACGGGCACACGACGCAGAAGTGCAGACACCTTAAAGATGAGATTGAGCACCTCATTCGGGCAGGGTATCTCAAGGAATTTGTGTATGAGGACAAGGTGAAGGGGAAAGATAAAGGGAGGTGTCGGGAAGATTCAGTGGAGCGGAGTGATCGAGATGATGACGAGGAAGATGAACCTCGAGGGGGAAGAGGTGATCGAGGAGGTGCTGGAGGAAAATGGAGACGGGGGAGTCGAGATCGAGGAGGCCATGAGGGTCACGGTCCCGTAAAGAGAGGGACGATCTATATGATTTCGGGAGGTCCAACGGATGGGGACTCGAACAATGCAAGGAAGGGGCATGTTCGAGCGATGAAAAGGAAAAGAGAGAAAGTGGGGATTACTGCTCGAATGCCGGAAATAAGTTTTCGGGCAGAAGATGCTGAGGGAGTGGTGTTGCCTCACAATGATGCATTAGTGATTACGGCGGAGGTGGCAGGTTTTGATGTGAAGAGGGTGTTCATTGATACCGGGAGTTCGGTGGATGTAATGTTTTATGATTGTTTTGTGCAGATAAAGAGGGAGTTTAATATCGAGCTAAAGCCGGTGACCACAACCTTATACGGATTTAATGGAAGCGAGGTGATGCCAATGGGGGAGGTGAGTCTATCTGTCGCCCTGGGGTAAGGGGCGACAAGGAAGGTGAGAATGGTGAGGTTCGTGGTCGTTGGAGCAGAGTCATCATACAACATCATCATGGGAAGGACCAGTTTGAATGCATTCCAGGCGGTCGTGTCGACGTACCATATGACGATCAAATATCCAGTGGGGGAAAACATTGGTGAGGTCGCAGGAGATCAGCTTACCTCGAGGAGTTGTTATCAAACCATGGTGAGCAACAATAGATAGCTCTCGAGAAAGCAGGGGAAGCTCGAAGAGGGAATGTTGAATCGACCAGAGGGTTCGAGGTAGAGGGAGGAAAAGGAGAAAGTGAATAAAGGGAAGGAGAAGGTGAAGATGCAGCCAGGCGGGGAGATCGAGGAGGTCCAGATGGTGGAAGGATGCGAGGAGAGGAAGTTTTGGGTAGGAAAGGAGCTCGAGGAGCCCATAAGGTCGAGATTGATTGGGTTGATCAGGGAGTTCGCGGATGTTTTCGCGTATATGGCTGAGGAGTTAACAGGAATAAAGGCGGAGGTGATCGAGCATCATTTGAATATTAATTTGACGGTGAGGCCGGTGAAACAGAAGAGGAGACATCATGGTGCAGAGATGGACAAGGTGATCGAGCAGGAGGTTGAGAAGTTATTGAAGGCGGGTCATGTTAAGGAGATCCAGTTCCCCGAATGGTTGTCGAACACGGTGATGGTGTCTAAGTCGGGGGGAAAGTGGAGGATGTGCATTGATTTTCGTGACTTAAACAAGGCGTGCCTGAAAGATTTGTATCCATTGCCTAGGATCGACCAGCTAGTCGATTCCACCGCGGGGTGTGAGTTGCTCAGTCTTATGGATGCGTCCCAGGGATACGACCAGATCCCTTTGGCTCGGAAGGATAGAAAGAGGGTGAGTTTCGTTACGAGCAGGGGAACTTATTGTTATGTGGTGATGCCCTTTCGCTTGAAGAACGCGGGTGCGACGTATCAACGGTTGGTCGATAAAATTTTTAAGGAGCAGCTGGGAAGGAATATGGAGGTTTACGTTGATGACATGTTGGTAAAAAGTAAGGCGGAGGCCAACCACGTGAATGATTTAAAGGAGACGTTCTTGACTTTGCGGAGGTATGGCATGAAACTGAATCCCGTTAAGTGTTCTTTTGGAGTGAAGTCAGAAAAGTTTCTGGGATATATGGTGACAAAGAGGATGATCGAGGTCAACCCGGAGAAGGTGAGGGCGGTGATCGAGATGAAACCGCCCACAATGGTGAAGGAGGTGCAGATCCTGACGGGCAGGATCGTGGGCCTGAGCCGTTTCATATCGAAGGTGGCAGAGAAGAGCGGCCCTCTGTTCCGAACACTGAGAAAGAGCTCGAAATTCCAGTGGACAGAGGAGGCCCAGAGGTCATTCGAGGAGCTACAGAAGGTGTTGGTCAATCTGCCTCTATTGGCTAAGCCGGTTTCTGGGGAGAATCTAGTGCTATACATATCGATCGGGGAAATGGTGGTAAGTGCGGTTCTATTGCGGGAAGAGGGCACGGTGCAATTTTCAATCTATTACGTAAGCAAGGTGATGCAGGCTGCGGAGAGGAGATATTCAGAGATCGGGAAGTGTGCTTTAGCAATGGTGGTAACGGTGAGGAAGTTGCGGCCGTATTTTCTGGGCCATAACATGAAGGTGAGAACGAATATGCCGCTGGGAGAAACTTTAGGTCGACCTTCTGTATCGGGTCGACTGGTGAAATGGGCGGTCGAGTTGAGTGAGTACACGATTGCATATGAGCCTAGGAGGGCGATCAAGGCACAGGCGTTGACCGACTTCATACAGGAGGGTACGAAAGTAGAGGAAGAGACAGAAGGTGTTTGA